AGAGAGAGAGAGAGAGAGAGAGAGAGAGAGAGAGAGACAGATATCGTGCGATTAAACTTCTAGGCTCAACTTTGGTTTGTGTATGTTTATTGTATTGTATGATTACACTTCTAGGCTCAACTTTGGTTTGTGGGTGTGTGTGTGTCTGCTGTATTGTAAGATTAAACTTCTAGGCTCAACTTTGGGACCCTCAAAGACTTTCTCATTAATAAAATGTAAGCATAAAAGCCAGAAGGAGTAAAAGGAATGAAAACATTTTAAGCAAACTGTAAAAGGGATAGGGTTGCTGGGCTTCACCAACAGCTCTTGTCCTGATTGGCTTCACTGTCTGGTTCCATTGGGTCAGGATGGCATTTCTGGCCCCATTCCACTTTCCTGGTCCCATGAGTTGAAACTGGTATGGGCTACAAGGGCCAAAGTATGTCTTCAAGGCCAGCCGAGGATCAATCAGGAAGAGCCTTGGGATGTTAGACTTGGCCCCTATGAAGGAGCCCAACTCATCCATGTACATGATATAATCTATCTGCAAAGTCTGGCTCTGGCCAAACCTGAGGAAAGGAAAGAACATATTGGAGTGAGGGTCACAGTTGCAAAAACAAGTATTCATTGCTTATTTTCTGTTTCAGAAAATCAGCATTTTAGCCAAACCTCCAGTTACGGTCCCTTTTTTCCCACAAAATAAAATTTATTGTTTGTTCTTTGGCTAAGTGAACTGTTTTATTCCTCCTTCTTAATCTCTATCTGAGTTTGGTGTAATTTTGGACTTTTGCCGCTGGCCACATGACCTGAAGTGAATTGACCCTTGGGTTTAAGGTGACGAACTTAATTTACTTTTTAACACATGATTATTCTTTGTTTGACATTGCCTAGAATCTGCCCCAAAGTTAGATTTTTATATTGGTTCACATAAAATTGGATTCATGTGTGGTTTCAATATTGCTATAATTTGCTAATATAAATTGTTCCATACTAAAGAAAACAAAAAATATTTTATTCCCAAATATATACTTTGACAGATTTTGAGATGGCTATTCAGAGAGCCTGCAGACAGGAATGGCCCTAAAAAGTGGCCTTTTGGGGGAAGAGACTGGTGTCTGTGGAGGAAACAAAGTGAAGTAAACAGCAGATGCAAATCAGGCTTTCTCTGAGGCCCCTGTTGTCCATCTAGGAAAGAGGAACTCAGGAGAAAGAGACTGAGTTATGCCATTGAAGATTTGACCAAGAGGTGTTTCCACAGCAACTCTCTTTCCAAGAGTTGCTGTCTGTCAGGCTTCATCCGCATAACAGGACAGCCTTCACTAGACACACTTCTCCCATTCACTCTCCCGTGTCCTGTGACACTACCTCCTCTAGAGCCCACAGAAACTTGGCCCCATGCCATTGTTCTTTGGACCCATTTATTTCCCCTGAAAAATCATTAACTTTTGTATCCCCCAAATCTCCCCTCTTCCTAATGAAGAGAATATTTAAGTGTCACCATCTGGCCCTGCTTTGAGTTTATATTTTGCATGATCCCATGTACATAATAAATCTCATTAACCTTTTGCTGTAGGGGTGTTGGTTGTGACCCTTTATTATGGGGAGAAAAGAGACCACCTTGCTTTCTGCCCGCAACTTTTAGTTGGAATGTGGCCTCTTGTGGTTTTAGAAACCCTGAAGAACAGTTTATCACGTAAGTGGTAAAATTATTTTGATTCCTTTTCTTTATTCCTATCAGCCTCTAAAGAAAAGTGTGTCAAGTTGCATGAATTGTTAGTACATAGAAGCGCTCGTCTCTACAGCTGTCCTGTGATTCGGATGAGGTTGTGCAAGGGAAGTTTTGCTGACTCTTAGGATTCGGTGACTACCTTATAGCATTCAATGTGAGAAAAATAGCTTGAGCAATCTGAGCTATGTGGGGTATGCAAAATTTATCAAGCCCAGAGAGACTTGCAAGGGATTGTAGTCACACCATCTCCTACTAATGCCCAGGAGTGATTGTTTAAAGATGTTTTGTTCCTGACTAGCTGTCTTACCATTTATTTTTATGTTCCTGGAATTTGTGATATAAAGAGAAATGTATGGCCAATTAATAGCTTATGTTATTTTAATGTAAATTCTTAGTGAACAACTTGGGAACTGTCTCTTCTTTTTCTTTAAAAACCTATTTGTAACTGCTGCTAATTGGAGTATATATATTTGGGGCAACTTAAATTTATGCTCCTGGGTTGCAGTCCTCAAAGTTGGCCCAAATAAACTCTCTATTTATATTAGGTTTGCCTCAACTTTTTTCCTTTAGGTCAAAATATCAATGCTTTGTTAAAGGTGTGAAAAAAGAAAGCAACTTCCTATCTACAGTTGACTTTTGAACAATTCAGGGATTAGTGGCACTGACCCACCCATAGTCAAAAATCTACTTACAACTTTTGACTCCCCCCAAACTTTACTAATAGCCTATTTACTAATAACACAAACTTCAGATTAACACATATTTCGTATGTTATGTGTATTATATACTGTATTCTTACAATAAAGTAAGCTGGAGAAAAGAAAATGTTATTAAGAAAAACATAAGGAAGAGAAAATACATTACTATTCATTAAGTGAAAGCGGATTGTCCTAAAGATCTTCATTCTCGTCATCTTCATGTTGAGAAGGTTGAGGAGGTGGAGAAAGAGGAGGAGTCGGTCTTGCTGTTTTGGGATGGCAGAGGCAGAAGGGCTAGAGGAGGCAGAAGAAGAGGCAGGAGAGGCAGGTGCACTCTGGTGTAGCTTCAGAAATATATCTGTTTGAGCTTTGGCTTCTTTTTTTCTCTAGAAATGTTTCTACATGATACCAACTCTTCTACGACTTTCTTTCATTTCAGTGCCTGCATCACAGAAGTGTCCATGTTACAAAAGGTACCAAAGGCAGTCTTGAGAATTGAAATCCTTCTGCCAGATTGTCTAATGTTAGTTTGTTTTCTGGCACTGTTTCTTCTATGTCTTCTTCTTCCTCGTTATTTGGCACTGGTTTGAAAGCATTCATCTCCGACGAGTCATCGTCTATGAATTCCTCTGGTGTGGTCTCCATCAGCTCTTGAATGTCTCCAAGACTCATATCTTGAAACCCTTCACACCCTCATCTGTTTTTTTCATATTCACAATCTTTTTTTTTTTTTTTTTGAGTTGGAGTCTCACTCTATCACCCGGACTGGAGTGCAGTGATTGCTCCCGGCCACCGCAGCCTTGACCTGCTGGGCTCCGGCAATCCTTCAGCCTCAGCCTTCCAAGTAGCTGGAACTACAGGTGTGCGCTACCATGCCTGGTTAATTTTTTATTTATTGTAGAGATGAGGTCTCGCCAAGTCACCCAGGCGGGTCTCAAACCTGTGGGCTCAGGCAAATCCACTCACTTCAGCCTCTAAAAGCACGGGATTACAGGCTGAGCCACGGAGCCCGGTTCATATTCACAATCTCTTTTGTGATTTCCTTGATTGGTTCTGTCATAAATCTTGTGAAGTAACAAACAACATCTGGACACCAGTTTCTCCAGCAGAAATTTATTGTTTTGGGTTTTATTTCTTTCATGACTTTTTCTATAACAACAATGGCATTTTTTTTGAGTTGGGGTCTCACTCTGTTGCCTGAGCTGGAGTGCAGTGGCACTATCCGGCTTACTGCAACCTGGGCTTAGGTGCTCCTTCTGTCTCAGCCTGCTGAGTAGCTGGCACTACAGGTGCACATCACCATGACAGACTAATGTTTTTAAATTTTTTTGTAGGGATGAGATCTTGCTATGTTGCTCAGGCTGGTCTTGAATTCCTGACCTCAAGCAATCCTTTTGCCTAGGCATCCCAAAGTACTAGGATTACGTGCGTAAGCCACCACACCTGGCCTACAATGACATTTTTAATGATGGAATCCTTCCAGACTTTCATGATGTTCTATTGGCCTTTTCTTCCATAGTATTGATAATCCTTTCCATGAAGTACCAGGTGTAACAAGCCATAAAGGTTTGTGTGACCCTATAACCTAGAGGTTGAATTAGACACTTTGTGTTCAGGGGCAAGAAGACTACTTCAGTTGCTTTGGTGTTGAACTCATGAGATTCTCAGTGGCCAGAGGCATTGTCCAATATCTGAAGAACTTTAAAATGTAGTCACTTACTGGCAAGCTACTTTCTGACGTCAGGGACAAACCATTGATGATATCAGTCTAGAAAAAGGACTCTTGCTGTCCAGGCCTTCTTGTTGTACAACCGAAAGACTGGCAGCTGGTGTTTATCTTTTCCTTTCAAGGCTCAGGGTGTTAGTAGTTTTATAGATAAGGGCAGTCCTGATCATAACCCTACTGAATTTGTACTGTTTGGAGAGTTAGTGTGTTATTTTCTGCCTTTAAATCTTGGTGTTCACTTCAATTTCTTACTGATAAATATCTTTCGTGACTTTTTTTTTTTCAGGAATAGAGTATTTTTGTTTGTATTAAAAATCTGTTCAGGAAGATATCCTTTTTTCTCAGTGGTTTTCTTAATGGAAACTTGTCCATTGCCTCTTGATTGGCAGAAGCTGCTGCTTCTGTTATCTTGACATTTATAAAGCCAAACCTCTTTCTAAAATGTTCAAACCATCCTTTACTGGCATCAAATTGTCATTAAGTTGTCATATAATAGCTTTACTTTTTTTGAATTAAATTAGCTTCCATATATATGCCTTAATTATAGCAATCCTGTGCCCACATAAAAGTTATATTTTTAGTACAAAATAAAAAAGGTATTTCACAAAAAACGCAGGGTTTCCATGTTTGCTGGCATAGGTGCAGTGATGGCGTCATTAATTTTCTTTACTTTTTAAAATAATGGTCCTTATGCTGAATTGATTTATCTTGAAATGTCAGGCAATCACAGCTGCAGACCTCCCTCTGTACAATATATTAAGTATTCCAACTTTTTCTTGTAATGTCATAATTTTTCTCTGCTTCTTGGGAGAATTTTCAGCACCATTAGTGGTACTTTCTGGGTTCCGTGGTGTTATTCAAGGTTTAAGGTATTGCACTAAGCATAATGAAAAAAATTTGAAAACTGTGAGAGATCACTTTTTACTGTCATATGCAATTTACTGAAGAGATGAACTGCTCATGTGGAGATAATTAGGATCACAAGACATTTTAAGTGGATACTTGAAACACTGGAGCTCCCATAATAGCAATAGGAGGTGTCTACAAAATTATAGTAGGTACTACAATTAATTTATGCCATTATGACTTAATACTGCATCTTTAAATTTGTTTATATTTCCCTCGACTGTGAAGTGCTTGTGTGCATAAATTTTGATGAATCCTAACTTTTTATAATAGATCTATATACATTTTATGGTAGTAAATGATAAAAATAGACTGGTATCTTACATATATTTTATGCATGACTTAGCTAATTTTTAAAATATATTTCTAGGCTATATGGATAATCTGTGAGTTTTAAAAAATTGTCACAAATCTCCAAAAAAAAATTTCCAATATATTTATTGAAAAATAAATATATTGATTATTGAATAAATACATTGAATAGGTGGACCCACATAGTTCAAGCTTGTGTTGTTCAAAGGTCAACTGTAGTCCTTTATGTTTCCAAATGTTCCATTATCAAATTATTCTTTCAACAGATTTTGATATATAATTTGAAAAGGATTTACTTTTTATAGAAGTAATTTGCAAGAAAAAGTACATTTAATTATCTAGCCCTTAATTGACTTTATACAAATCTCATTATGTTATACTTGAAAACATATGTTTAAATAAATCAGAAGTGAATATTCTTCTAGTAGAAAATACCAGGGCAGGTGATGCAATTTAAGTTTTTATTTGGTTTTTCTTATTGCAGTAAACTAGATGCTGCTGTGCCATCTCCAGTTAGCTAATCTGCAGGCTGATGTGGCTGATTACAAAAGAACTGGGGAAGGCTATGGAATGGTTTCACAACCTCATCACTAGTACATTTTGTTTTGTTTTGTTTTGTTTGTTTTGAGTTGGAGTCTCACTCAGTCGCCCAGACTGGAGTGCAGTGGCCGCTCCCGGCCACCGCAGCCTTGACCTGCTGGACTCCAGCGATCCTTCCGCCTCAGCCTTCCGAGTAGCCGGAATTACAGGCACACGCCACCTTGCCCGGCTGATTTTTTGATTTATTGTAGAGATGAGGTCTCGTCAAGTTGCCCAGATGGGTCTCAAACCCGCAGGCTCAGGCAATCCACTCACCTCAACCTCCCAAAGCACGAGATTACAGACTGAGCCACCGAGCCCGGCTTACAAGTACATTTTGAGCCAGATGATTCTTCGTTTTGGTGGATTGTGCTCTGTGTTATAGGATGATTAGCAGAATTCCCAGTCTTTACCCATAAGATGCCAGTAGCATACCCTCTCTATTTGCAGTGACCAAAAACATCTCCAGATTTTGTCAAATGTCTCCTGGAGGGCAAAAGCCCCGTTAGAGAGCCTTCGTAGCATTATGCAGAAGTGTGATAACTATTTACTATCAATTATTGATTATAGCGAGTGTCACAAAATGTGAACTCTGACTAGTGACAATATTATAGAACACATTTATGTTTTTCTATACAGTGGCATATAAAGGCACACTTTATGACTTGTTCTATTACCAAGTATAATTGCTTACCACTTGAGTTTCTTTCCCATCTTCTCATCAGTGTCATCCATCATTTCATTTGTGGTTGGCAAGGTACACGAATCTAGAAAAGAAATGGAGATTAAAATGCCGAAAAAGGCAATGACATGTGGTAAAATTTATTTAATATTTATAAGCTACATTCCTAAATTTTTTTTCTGCATCAAGAGGAGCTATCTTTGATATCTTTTTAAAATTTTTATTTTTATTTTTTTTAAAGATGTAGGGTACAATTCAGGGTTAGGTATATAAACGTTGATTATGCAGGTACCCTTGTTGATGAAGTGTGCCCCTCCTTCCCCTAGCAGTTTCCCTCAACTGCCAATTCCACCTCCCCTCCCCTGGCAGTTTTCCACTACTGCCAATCCCTTTCTTATAGTATTATGATAATTGTTCAAGGTCCACTTATGAGTGCAAGCATATGGCACTCTGTTCATTGTTTCTGTGATAGATCACTGAGTATGATCAACTCTAAATTCATCCAAGTTGTTGCAGAGTCCATATGTTTGTCCTTCTTTATGACTGCATGATATTCCATTGTGTATATGTACCACATTTTTTTATCCAGTCCAGCTTTGATGGGTAACATGGTTGGTCCTGTGTTTTTGCTATTGTGAATAGAGCTGGAACAAACATATGTGTGCAGGTATCTTTTTTGTAGAATGATTTGCGTTCCTCCAGGTATATTCCCAATAGGGGAATTGCTGGGTCATATGGAAGGTCAATTTCTATTTCTTTCAGAAATTGCCACACTATCTTCCAAAGAGGTTGCACTAGTTTGCATTCCCACCAGCAGTGTAGAAGCATTCCTTTTTCTCCACATCCTCAACAGCATCTGTTGTTTGTTTTATTAATGATGGTCATTCTTACTGGGATTAGGTGGTATCTCAATGTGGCTTTGATTTGCATTTCTCTGGTGATAAGTGAGGCTGAGCACTTTTTCATGTGTCTGTTGGCTGCCCGTATATCTTCTTTTGAGAAGTGTCTATTCATGTCTTTTGCTCACTTTTTAATGGGAATATCTTTTTTAAAATGTCTTTGATAACTTTAGTGAAATGATGATTCACAGAAACAAAGACTTGAGAAGTTAATGGACCTTCTCTGGGAATGGCAAAGCTGACTTGCAGTGAGATCATGACAGCAGAGATGTTTGTAGCTTCAAATCATTCAATCTCATATTTTTGTAATTAAATGGAAAGCCAAATCATGTACACCTCAAGTGTATGATAACTTAATTGTTTCTTCCTATTTCTTGTCTGCATCCTCTGACTAAAAATTCTCTCAAGAAATAATCCAGTAAAATGGTTCACTCTAAGGTACCTGGTATTTTAAATGAGATAATGGAGGGAAATATAGGATTTTAAACATCTTCCCTGCAGTTAGATAAGGTGTTTGAAGGGGTAGAAAAGTTTTAACTTTTTGCAAATTTCACTACACCACTGTAGATTCTTCTGACTTGTGATTGTAGCATATTTGCCTTTGTAACAATGGAAGGTTACTATTACATTTACAGCGCATGAAGACTTCCTAGTCATTGTTAGCATTTTACCTCAATCTGGTAGTATACTATAATCAGATAGTTGCTGGGCACCGTACTAATAAGTAAGGAACAAGAATTTTGCTCTATTTCATATTGTGTCAAGATAGAGCCCGACACATTGTAGGTGCTCAATAAATATTTGCTGAATAAATAAATGATCCCCTATGTTTATGTAAATTTCTTATGCATCTAATATTCCCATAAAACCTCAGGGTCTTGGCACTGTTGAGTCTTTCAAAATAAAAAGACGATAGAAGTATTTTATACAAGATTCCGTGACAAAGTTATTTAAATAATGATATTTCATGGAGTATTTGAAATGGAAATTTACTTATACATAAGATTTTTTAGAAAACGTATGCATACATTCTAATGATTGTAACACTTTCTTCATCACTTATAGTATAAATTTGCATGGACATTATGTTAGATAAATTAAACCTATATAGGTCAAGATTTTGACCTTCAGTAAAAAGACACTTTCAATAATAATGATGATTAAGATGATTGGAGTAAATTAAAATCAATATATTTGGGATATTGTCTTTCTTCATGTAATCCTCATATTTTTAAATTTCTTCACACATCATACTTGTACCCCTGGAAGACCATGGGGTCTAGGTTGGAGGGAGGGGAGAAGATTGTTGCTAGAATCAGAGAGTCCTGACCTTATCATTCTGGTATAAGTTGGCACTAATGAGGTTTCCAGCATGTCCCCCAACACCCGCCAGGACTCTTCCACCTTCATAGTGTTCCTTGACACTGCGGTGACCTTACTGCTGTCCTTTTCTTGCTTAAAATATTACAAAGTCCTTCCAAATCCCTAGGAGAAGCTAAAGCTCTTGAACAAAGCTTATAAGGCTATACCTCTTGTCATCGGCCTTCACTTTACACCAAAATGTTTCTAGTTCTTTACACATTCCATGCTCTTCCTTGCCTTTCTGCCTTTCCACATACTGTTCCCTCTACCTGGGATGACTCGCTGTTCAAATTCCCTTACCAGAACATCTCAAAACCTCCCCTAATTTGGCATCCTCCTATACTCCATTTTAGGCTTTGACGGGTAAAGGAACACATTTGTCTTGTTCCCATTGTATCCCTAGCACAGTGCTTGGCATACATTAGGTGCTCAATAAAGGTTCATTGACAAAATGAATGAAAGACAGAATGGCCCACTTACTTGCAAATACTTTAGCTGTCCAGCGGGCCTGCAGGTCAGCTGTTGGGATGGCAGCTCCAAGAGACTGGACAAAGCCGATCACAGCCAAGGTTGGCTTCTCCATTAGTGGGGGGAAGATGCCTTTAAACAAGGTATTCATTGTTTCTGCTTTTGATGATGGAGTCATCAAGGAAGGGGTAGGCATAAGCATAGCCTGTTGTAAAGATGACAGAGTCAATAGCCTCAAACATGGTCCCATCCTCAAAAATGGCCAGGGTCTCTGTGAACTCCTTCACGCTAGGCTTGATGAACATGGCGCCACACAGGATGCAGGATGGGAGCTCATTGTTGAACACAGGCTCTTTTCTCAGGGGACTGTGCAGAAATGAAAAGAAAATGTCTTTGCTGTAAAACACCTCATTCCCGAGAAATATCTGCAATAGCTCATAGCACTGAAACCAAACGAGCAGCTAAATAGCACAGGGACCACTGAGCTCTCTTCTCTTGCAGCAATTCCTTTCTTAGATGAGAGTAAAACTAATTCCCAGACATTATAAAGTGGTCAAGACACTGGCAGCCGATAGCTCAAGTTCATAATCTAGCTCCATGTCCTACTAGCTGTTACGTCTCTGAGTTGGCTTCTTTTGGTGTTAAATGGAGAGGTTGATGGAATCTTCCTCCTGAGGCTGTCGTGAGAATTACAGTTATCCTTAAAATATTTAAATAATGGCACATTCAAGCACCATTATTCTAAGTGACTTTAAGGTCTTGTCTGATATGGGAAAATTGGATTTGCAGTGGTAGGATGTTTTATTGCCATGTTTGGTTTTCTTTCATTAACTGTGGTCACACACAAAAAAGTATAACAACTTTGATACAGCACTTTAGTTGCCAACATTCTAAAATAATACTATGAAGGATGACATTTTTCATTTTGACTCAATATTCCTCCAGGGATTCTGGAATTTCCTCCAAGTATCTCAGACACAAAGAAACTTTGTAAATTTTGGAATGTTTCCGTACTTTCACACTGTTTGCTGTCTCTATAACTTCTCAACCTCTAATTTTATCTTGTAAGGTGGCAAAAAGTAGGTCCTAACAAAACACATTTTTCTCCCTTTCTCCCCATCCTGCTACCCAAAAGAGGAGTGAGAAGGTGTCTTCAACAATTAAGTGTAACTGGAACCCTTTTAAAAAGGGAGCTTAGTTCTTAGAATGAATGGATTTCCCAAACTATGCTTTAATTGTCTAAATGACAAAGCCAAAATACAATTTGCAGTTACTCTTACAAGACCAAAAAAAAAAAAAACTTAACCAGCTCAGGCTTTAGCACTTATATTAAACATAATTTCAAATGTACAAAATCAATATATTTTTCCTTTAGGGTTACAGCAGTCTGCAAGACTGAGTAGAAAAAGGTTTTGGAATCAGGATTTGGCTCCTAAGCATGGTATTTGCTTTTCTGACTTGTAGTTCCTTCTTACTTTTTCTTGATCTGTTTCTCTAAAAACTTTCTGGGCCAGAAAATGAAAACTATTAATGAATCCTTTATTTTCTTACACACTTAAATATCCCTTCTCTATTGTTATGCTGATTTTTCTAACTGGAATGCCTTCCTAACTAGTGTTGATCTCTGTCTCTATAAAGAAGTAAATAAGTAAATCCTACTAATTTTAAGGGCCACATCATTTCTGTGAATCTCATTGCTTTACATGTTGCATGCCTCCTTGAGTGTCCTGAAAAAAACATCAAGACTTCAGGGCTAGAAGAAATGTGCACTTTTGCTTTGAAATTTCATACTTGCCAAGACAAGTTGATAAAACTACCTTGTTAATTGTTCTTTGGAAGTAAATTTTTTAAAATGTGAGACAAAGAAGAACCAATATTTGTAAAGCGTTATAGTCCACAAAGTAACTTTTATATATCTTTTAATCTTGTTGATTACCTTAACAATCTTGAGAAACAGGTATTATTATTGATATCCCCATTCACGCATAAGCATGGACAAATTATTTTTAAACCCCCCAAAAAACAAACAAACAAAAAATGTGAGTTTTTTTCAACCCTCAAAGTTATACACTATGGGGTGTAGCCAGTACAAATGAATCCTGCATACCAAGGTGACCCATCTGTCTGCTCTATCTCTATTTTGGATTCCTCTATATTCTTTCTCCATTAGACTAATTTCAGTAAGAGTTGCAGCCTGGATGTGGTCTCTGGGTGTATACTGTCACCTGTGTGGCCCTTAATTTAATCCCATCAGCCTCAATGAGACAAATAAAGCAAGATCTAGAGAGAAATAATTCACTTGAACTAATGCTCCATTGTTTCAAATGATAAATTATGTATTATTTGTAGTACCCATTTAAAGGCATCAGGCCATAGTTCTCATGCTTAAGCCATGTGTTCATCTTCTTGACATATAACCAGTCAGAGACGAATGAAGGAAGGATGTAGCAGAGAAAGGATGCAAAGTGGATAACGTACACCATATCCCAAGGATAGCTATCATCCTAAACCTGGCTCATGACCCAGGAACCACTTCTGGTGCTGATAATGACCTGGTAGGGAAAGGCAACAAAGATATCAACGTCACCATAAGAAATAGCAAGCATGACACAATCTCTGGGCACTTCCATACATCTTCCTCAGTATCCAGGTAGAAACGCTTTCAAGGGGTCTAGATAAATAGTTCAGAATGAAAACTAATAGAGGCAGGAATACCTTTTCACCACCACCCATGGCTGGTGCATAGTTGTTCAAAGAATTAAAACTGTATCTTTTGGAGCAAGAGAGCTCTGTTATTCAGTTGTGACAGGTTTAATTTTCACATGCTTATTGACTATGATAGCAGGTCTTGGGGGGACCACACAATCCAAGGAGCCCTGGTGACGATGGCTGGTGATAGTCAGTGGGCAGGGTGGGGATGATGTAGCTCAATCTTTTGCCAAAATTAGGCTGCAGAGAGCCAAGGGTTTAGTTCTGTTCTTTGCCCCTGGTCTCCTTTTCCAGTTCTCCCTACACTCATGCTCCAGGATTCCTCCTGGACAACCTAGTTGCCACAGCACTGAAACAAGCCTAGCTGCTTGTCTATTTTATGATCTTCGCAAAATAGATTTTGACTTTGTAATAAAGTAAGGAAATTTTTAGTTTAAAAATATTTTAGCTTTCATTTATATCCATTTAAGAATTTATTTATTAAATATTTGTTTTCTTAAAAATATGTTGTTTCTTCAAAGCAGGAGGTATCACACTTCCAGACTTCAAACTTTACTATAAGGCTACAATAATCAAAACAGCCTCGTATTGATACAAGATAAGAACAGGCATATGGACCAATGGAACAGGATAGAGATTCCGGAAGCAAAGCTTCAATTTCTCAACCAACTCATCTTTGACAAAGTCTCCCACAACAACCACTGGGGAGAGGAGAACCTATTCAGTAAGTGATGCTGGGAAAACTGGTTGACCACATGCAGAAGATTGAAATGGACCCCTACCTATCATCATACACAAAAATAATCTAAATGGATCAAAGACCTAAACCTAAAACCTCAAACTATAAGAATCTTAGAAAATGCAGGAGACACCCTTATGGAAATTGGAACTAGCAACTAATTCCTGATCAAAATCTCAAGTGCCCATACCATAAGAGATAGATAAACAAGTAGGACCTCAATAAACTGATAACCTTCTGGAAAGCAAAAGAAATCATCAAGAGAGTGGGAAGACAGTCCACAGAATGGGAAAAAATATTTGCTAACTGTACATCTGACAAAGGCCTAACATCTAGGATCTACAGGAAACTCAATGCGCTGAAAAGAAAAAAACAAAGAGCCCCATTAAAAAGTGGGCAAAGAGCATGAATAGATACTTCTTAAAGAAAATATACAGGCAACCAGGAGACACGAAAAAGGGCTCAGTCTCACTCATCATCAGAGAAATACAAATCAAAACACACTGAGATATCACCTAACCCCAGTAAGAATGGCCATTATTAATAAAACAAACAGCAACAGATGCTGGCGAGGATGAGGAGGAAAGGGAACTGCTGGTGGGAATGCGAACTAGTGCAACCTCTTTGAAAGACAGTGTGGCGATTTCTGAAAGAACCAGAAATTGACCTTCCATATGACCCACCAATCCCCCTATTGGGAATATACCTGGAGGAACTTAAGTCATTCTACCAAAAAGATACCTGCATGTTTGTTGCAGCTCTATTCAGAAACATGGAACCAACCAAGCTGCCCATCAAAGCTGGACCAGATTAAAAAAAAAATGTGGTACATATACACAATGGAATATTATGCAGCCATAAAGAAAGACAAACATATGGACTTTGCAGCAACTTGGATGGATTTAGAGTCTATCATACTCAGTGATTTATCACAGAAACAAAGAACAGATTACCATATGTTCTCACTCATAAGTGGACCTTGAACAATTACCATCATACTATAAGAAAGGGATTGGCAGTAGTGGGAAACTGCCAGGGGAGGGGAGGTGGGGTTGGTAGTTGAGGGAAACTTCCAGGGGAGGGAGGCACACCTCATCAACAAGGGTACCTGTATAATGAACGTTTGCATACCTAACCTTGAGTTGTACCCCACATCTTTAAAATAAAGAAACACACATACACACACACACACACACACACACACACACACACAAATATGTTGTTTCTTTAAGGTTACTGATCATGTATGACTCCACTTGGTGTTCTCTGAGAAGCCTTCGTTGACTTCATCCAGGCTAAGTTAGGTTCTCTTTTCAAGGTGCTGCTTGTGCCACACCTAATTCCACTGGAAGATTCATGACTTCCTTTTGTGATGGTCTGTGCACCTGTGACTCCCACCTCCACTCACTGACTGCTCCTTGAAGTCAGGAACTAGCCTAACTTATGCCTGTATTTATTTTTAGTTTTACATAGTTCTGACACATGAGTGCCCCATATTTGTTGAGTACTTGCTGTTGAATAAATAAATATTTTTTAGTAAAAGTCAAATCATGTGTATCTTTCAGATCTCCGGAGTGGTAAACACAAGACTTTTTGCATGGTAGGTGATAAGAAATAGAGATAAATAAATATAGTGCCTGACTAGGAACTACTCGACTTGGAAGTGATCATAGCATAAAATTAAAACAAAAAATACGTACATACACACTCACCTACACATACACTGATACACTTACGTCTTGCTCCAGTGGAATGTACTTCCTTACTAGCATGGGCCACATCACCTCGTACCACATGGAGAACGTCTCAAGTTCTCATTGATTTAAGGGGCATATGCAACGGGTGCATCTCTTGTGGTATAACATGGCAAATACTATTCTCCCTGCCTAGGTTGTGGATTTAGAAGAATAGCTCTATTCGAGGTTTATTTCCCCCAGCCCTTGACACCACGTACCTGTGTAGCCAGACAACTGAGCTCAACAGCAATGTCAGCTCCTGAGTTCCCCAGGCCGACCACGAGGACCCTCTTCCATGTGAAGGCTGCTGGACTCTTATAATCCCTGCTGTGGAGGGAGTCGCCTAGAAATTGGTCCAGGCCTAGTTGGAACATGGGGAGTGGTTTAAGTTGATTTTCAGAAATTATGAAGAACATTTTTCAATGTGCTTTTTATGTTGATGATGATGATGATTTTATTATAAAGATGTGGAGCACAAGTCAGGATATTATTCCTATTTTGAAAGATGAGGAAATTGAGACAAAGAAGTTAAATGATAAGAAGCTAGCAAATTAAGGAGTGAGCCCAGGCATCCTGATCCCACACTGACAACCACCACTTAATGCCTGCGAACATTAAGTTTTAATCCTGGATTCCTCCTGAACCTCCATGCTTGTATTTACCCTGGCCTATGAACATCGTTCCTGGGGAAGGGAACCCTAATATCTTTGAGTGGACTGTGTTCCTGTTGCAAGGAAGGCAGGAAGAATGGAAGAAAAGCTCCACGTACATTGTGTTTATTTGACGTTTGCCACTCTTGAATAGTAACAGAATATGTTACTACTCACACACGTGTGTGTGCACACAAATCACTGAGAATTCTGAAGTTTATTTGAAAATGTGGATGAAAATGATATTAGAAACTACAGTTTCTCCTAGAAATACAATAAGAGAATGTACCTTTTAAAAAAATACTTGGCAGCTGGATTCTATTTTTTTTAAAAAGTAATTTCTATTCAAAGACCCCATGTGCTGTCAGCACTTATATTTAAGTTGCTGTCTGTAAAGTAAGAACTCTTTCTGTATGAGCTCTGTCTTGTAGATCTTTGATTTTTTAATTATAGGGGTGTAGGAGGCCAATTATTACTATAGCATATTATTAGACTCAAAATTTGTTTCTTTTGAAATCTTTGGGACCTTAAGAATAATCATTATGCACAATCTAATCTATGTTTTGAAAGATCTGTTTTAACCTTTGATGTTAGCATGTAAGTCCCCAGATTATTATATAGTTTCCAAACATACCAGGAAAACAATCCTTTGGCAGATTGGGATATACGTGATGTCCTGAACAGATCATTACGGCATCAAAAACAGTAGATTCCTGCTGCCCATCATCTTCAGTAACAATAACCCACTGGCCAGTGATTGAGAAGTTGGGACATTTCTTTATACTGGTAACCAGGGTCTTAAAGAAAACTGGAAAAAATTTCTTTTATTTATACTTCTGTGTGTGCACTTTTTTTTCTTTCTTGCAATGTTGCTGTGCAGAAAATAATTTTTATGAGCTCTTTCGGTCATGGCAAATATATGGAAAGATATTAAAACAGGAATCACAGTGAATCTTCAGTGTGATTCACAAGGAAATTTACTCACTGGGGTACATTTACTTTTTGACATCAAGTGAGTTGATTTGGAGGCAATCACCTTGAATATTTTTTTGAATGGTGTCATGCAACGAATTGATGTCATTTGCTTTATTGTTCTCCTGCACCAACATGGCTTCCTCCTTCTCTGACAACATCTTCCAACTACTCATAAATCCTGGGATGTCTCAAGGCTCAACCCTTGGTCTCTCTTTTGCTCTGTATGAACATTCTCCCTCGAAAATATTAGTAACTCCGTGGCATGAACATACAGTATATTCAGCCTTGGTCTTTCTTCTGCTATCCAGTCTAGATTAACCTTTCCAATGGAAGGCCACCCCGTACTTCCTCAAATCTAGTATGTGTATGACTGGCCTACTTATAGTTCCTTCAAAACTGGGTTCTGATTTTCATATTTCTTTATTTTTCTTCATTTTGTTTTTTTTTTATTTTCATATTTCTTTGAAAGATGACATGAACCTCCCAGACACCCAAACCTCAAACTCACAGCTTGTTTTCCTTGTTATTTCTCCTTTCTTATCTTGTGTTTAAGCAATCATTTCTCTCAGACTCTTACTCTCTCCTCCTTTACGTGACTGCTAACACCCCTTTGTTCAAGTCTTCGGCACTCCCTTTCACAGACTACTTACTGCAAGAACCTATGAACAGCTTGCCTTAAGCCTCTGATTTCCTACAGGTCATTTTTCACACTAATTGTCAGATTAATCTTTCTAGAGAACACTGATTTCATGTCTCCTGCTCAAGGTTAATTCTGTTACTTCACAGCCTTTGGGATTTATATGTCATTTCTAATGCTATAACTAAAAGTCCACCCAATTTTGTTCCAGTGTACTATTTTGGTCTTATTTTCTGATATTCCCATAAACTCTTCTGAGACAGAGACTGCTAATTGCTTCCTCAATATCTATTCTTTCCTCTTCCTTACTAACAATACCTTGATTTTGTTTGGAGTGACAATGTACCCAGCAGAGAAACACATTTTCCAGACTCCTGCACAACTAGAATGGCCTATGAAATACAAGAAGACAATGTTGGATAGGCTTTCCAGGAGAGTTTGTGAGAGAGAAGCTGCATTATACGGGAGAACATCTTTTGTCCTCATCACTTCCTCTTTTTCCTTGCCTAGAAGGTAGATATGATGCCTCAAGCTTTGATAACTATTTTGGACCATGATGCAAACTTGACAATGGAGGCCTCATGCTAAGAAGGGTAAAGCTGAATCTTTGATGATTGTGGTGCCATCACATCAGCACTGGTTATCTCCACTCTGAACTTCTTTTACATGGCTGTAAAGTAATTCTCTCCTTTTTCAACCATAGACACCTAGTTTACTGATGTATGTAGACATATTCAATCCTAGCAGCTAGATCTCCATCTTAACCTACCTGGCTTGCTCACTGTTCTCCAAAAGAGTAGGATATTTTTCCACCTCTCTGCTACCCACTTATCTAAAATACTTACCAAATTCAATTCAAATTTTACCTTCTCCAGAAAAGTAACTTCCCCAGAAGTGTTTCCTCTTGCTTTCCATAGCATTCCTTTATTTATAAACCATAGATAGCGTTAAACAATTTTCCCTTTTGATTTAAATTTTTACTTGAACCTTATGACTTGCTCTCTATACTTGTTTTGCTCCCCAGTTAGATTATAAGCTTCTTGAGGGCTGAGTCTTAGACCTTTTTTTTTTTTTTTTTTTTACATACAGTGCGTAGCACAATGCAAGCACATAATAAGAACTTCCTCAATACTTGTTGATATTACTACTATAAATTAAAGCCATTTATACCATCTGGAATGTCATAAGTGAATAGAATGAATACATGAATGGAATGAAATGACAATTGGAAAATCATATTTTAACTATACATTTGGAGCTACTCCAGGTAAAATGATTATATAAATATAGCCCCAGTTCATAATTTTGCTAATTGTTTTCCCCACTGTATATATGTACTCTGCATTTAACAAAGTAATTGCAGAATTCCTAACAAATGTCATGTTTTTTTGGAACCACGACTTGTTGGCATTAAACCCACAGATGTAGACTAGAGAATTTTGGGTTATTTTCAAAACGCCAGAGCATGAGGGTAGAAAGCGGACTGTGATGGTTTAGCAGTCTCCAGCATTTTCCAAGGTATTTTAAAAGTGCTCAGATACTAGTGAAGAATGATTTTAGCGGGGAAAAGATCAATGCATGAAGACTTTATAATCTGAACCAGCATTGAACTACCGAGGTGTCCAAACATTTGGCTCCGATTTCTACAACCAAGGGTTGTATCCTTACCTTTCTCTAATCCATATACAGTCATTTCAATAATACCAGTTACAAGCCCTCTACCTCAAACTGTATGTATCTCAAGAGATTCTTCTTTTTAGCAAAGGTCTTTATGTATTCCTGGAGCTTGCTGTGGTGCATGTAGTTTGGGTAATCATCAGGGAAAGGGAAGTCTGGAAAGCACATCATTTCTTTGGAAGAGTCGGTGAATACAGATGTATAAATGCTGGCTCTGCCTTCTTCTGTGCAGTCCTAGGGAGAATAAGAAAGCTTACAAAGGAAGCCAGGAATGGCATTCCCTGCAGTGGCAGTGAATATTCTATTCTTGGTTGATGAAACCTTTTTAATATTACGAAGAATGAACAAAAAAAGCTCTCTGCAAGATATGGAGTGGAAAGCCCTTTGCATGATACCTGGCTCAGAACTGGAATGCTCTGCATGTGCAGCCTTTTCCTGCAGCTGCCCCTAGGATCAGCCCTGTCTATTGTCACTGAGAGTTTTATTTCTATTTACAGCACCCCTGTCTGGTTCTGATCTCTTAATCATGTTAAAAAAAACAAAACCCCACAACATCGTAAAAGAGGTTAAGACTGTTCACTTATCTGATTGCTATATGGAGTTCAGCAAACACTCCCTCAGCAGCAGAGCCCTGCATTGCAGCAGTTCCCCAATTTAGGCACAGTCAGGATCACCTGGAGGGGTCCTTAGGCCATAGACTCTGGGGCCCTAGAATTTCCCATTCAGTTGTCTGCAGTGGGGCCCAAGAATTTGCATTTCTCACAAGTACCAGTTGATGCTGATATTGCTGGTCCAGGAGTCACGCTTTGAGATTCACTGCTCTGTTGTCAAGAAATTCTATGCTTGAATAGTTCTTGAACGCACCCATTAGGGGTATTCATTTCTCACCAAAGAAACAGGAAACCAGAGACCTCAGAACATGAGTTAAATCTTGGCACTTCATTTTAAAGCCACCGTGTAATTGAAAAGTGGCTTATTTTTGAAAAGCAGTCAAAGACTAAATTGAAAATAAACATTTCCTCTCTGTTGCAATGTCAGGATAAAAGGACACAATGTGCTGCCTTGAAAACACATTTAAGAGCTGGCAGCCTCTGCTTCTCCAGGTCCTGAAGGGACTCTGGTGCAATGGAGGAAAGGGATGGTGTGTCATGCTGCTGCTGGGTTCAAGATGTCTGTCTTCCTCCCACCCCAGCTGACCTCTGGAAGACAGAGACAAGAAGTGTTGGAAAGGATTGTGTCCTGGTGGGAAAGCAGGGGCTGCTTGAGGCCTCAGTGTTTTTTCTGAACATACAATCTTTCTCTATTCTTGACTGCTGCGTTTCTCACAAATATCTAAGCTCAGAGATTTTGACTATTTTTTTAACCTCAATTTGAAATTTTTTGTGGAGGTCAGAAAAAGGATGAAGGTTCTGCCTGTCAGGCTGGCAGACTGTCTTTCTCTTTCACCCACAGCCAGTGCCTTCTGTTGACAGTTGTAAGAAGGAGGGGAGGTGGCGAGGAGGTTTCTCAGCTGCACATTGGAAGGAGCGGAACTGAGCTGTGGGAAACCAGAGATGTCAAGGCCTTGGAATATTTCCATCTTAAATCAATCTTTACTTTTTGCCCCTTGGCCCCAGCTCATTATAACTTGAGGGGAGAAGTGAATGTACACTACAGTTCCTTGGAATTATTCCTAAAAACTGTTCTCCAAACAACAACAACAACAACAACAAAAGCAAATGTATGATGTAACAACATACAATTGCTCCAGAGAGCATGCATTTTCATTATTTCAATGTGAGGTGTTGTTTGAACCAGTAAGGAGGAAACTCATCTTAGACTCTGCCTCGGACTGAGAGAGCTTGCCCTAGAACCAGAGATTCAAGCAGCAGTGGCCATGTTACTAACCATCTGTCTTGGGTTGTAGCTGTGTTCATCTCTCAACTTCCTCACTAGGACATAAGTGACTTGAGGGCAAAGTCTGAGGCAAATTCCAGAATGTTGTGGGTGTGTCTCAGCTGTCTGCCTTGGTCTTCTTCCTAGTCCATCTGTTTACCAGTCCCATTTCTGCTTGTCTAAATAGACCCTCAGGATCCTGCTCGAAAGTTGCCTCCTTTGTCGTGACTTTGATGACCTTCCCTCTTACCAACTGCCAAATCATTTCTGCCTCCACCAATCTCCTTTTGTCTTTCCTGCCCCAATCACATATTCACTTATATTATAGTTATTCTAATACTTTTCTCTGCTTTTAGAGTGCCGTTTGGCCTCTCTTCTGCAGGTGTGCCTAACATCATACCCCTCACATAATGTACTCAGTATGTGTTTCTCGAATCAATAAACGAATGAGGAGTAGAAAGAAGGTTCGGAGAGTCCTGGTTCCCTTGCTTTCTCCTTTTGCAATCAAAATGATACTCACGTATTCCCTGTTGAACAATTTCTTATTATAGCAGCAATAAAATATTTTGAGGACTTAAGGTACTATGTAAGAGTGGATGAAACTTAAAACATATTCACATTCAGACTTCTAGCATTTAAACCCCATTTGGTTTTCATTTCTCAGAAGAAGCAAATAGTGAAAAGTTCAGAATTATCAGGTTTCTGTCTTCTGGAACACCTTCTGCCTAGCGGAGGCTTGCAAGATTAAAGCTTATGTAACACATTTTTCAAAAATCCCTCTCTAACTGTACATTGTGCCAAGCAACTATTCTTAGAAAAGAAGAAAGAGTTGGGGCAGGTGGAGGGGACTAAGGTTTTGAGTCCCCACCAATCCTTTGATAGAATTTTGCTTATACTCACAACCTTATGGGAGAAAGACATTCCCTCTTGTGAGTAACCCAGAGACCCAGTCTGTATCTCATTGATCTGCCACTTATTGCTTCCTTAAATAAACTTTCTGATCAGGCTATGCTGGTTAAGTCATGGGTTCTGCCCTGCACACACCATGTTCATTGCCTTTTCTGTGGTTTCATGGGTTGCTGGTCTTGCCTATCTAGTTCTGCCACACTGCCAGTGACTGCATAGGTCTGTGGAGTGCCATTCAGGCCCAGAGGGAATGGCCCTCTCCAGAGTTGTGTCATACAGTGATTCTCTATTCTGCTTGTCTGAGGATATCCTTCAAGGTTCAACTAGTATCATTCCTATAGAGGTTTCCCTTGGCCTATTAACATTTCAGTAGTTCATCCTTTTCTTTTTTTTTTTTCGAGTTGGAGTCTCACTCTGTCGCCCAGACTGGAGTGCAGTGG